AAGCTTTCTCAAGATTCTTTTGGCGTTTCTTGGAGCAAGTTTTGAATGTCGTTTTGGTCCTCTTAAAAAAATGCCTATACGTAGCAATGATGCACCAAAATGTCCCTTCAAGAGAAGAGAATAAGCATGCTTGTTTTTTACTCATTTTTGTACAAAATTAGGTTCCCTGTCTTGAAAGTTTGGCTAGAAGCCGTCTCCCGGGAACTTTAGAGTTGGTAAGCATATTTAGATACCATCCTGGTACAAACACTTTAAAATCATTTTTCAGGTCATGGTGGTATACAAATAAGATATGTGACTTTTAGCCCCCCCCCCTTCCCGAGACAACTTTACGTCAGATTTGATTCCGTTCAACTGATGACTGATACAGTTATCTTGGATGCTTTAATACTTGAACTTGACAAATCCACACAACAGAACAATCCAGAACTCCAGCACCTGACCCCTTCTCCTTCCGTTGCCATCTGCTCGCTTGTATACATACATATATTACCTGCAAAAGTTAAGCCTTTTTCAGGCTTCATAGGTAGTAAGATATATTCATAATATTTTTAAAACTGCGCATCGTTGAGATTTAACAAAGACAAGCAGTTGTTGCGTCGGTAACACCGTACCGCGCCGCCGCGCGCGTCCCGGGCAGGCAGCGCAGCGCGCGGATCTGCCTCAGAACGGCCGGCTCCCCGTCCCCCGATGGTTTTTCCCGTTTTCACGCCTAAAATATCGATCCCACGGAAAAATTCATAAGAACCAGTTTTGTTCCTAATAAAATTTCCCATCGTTCTGTTGTAAAAAAATTACGCTAACATTAGCCGTTCCGTAGTTATTCAAAATTCAAAATTTGGGGGCCCCCCTGTTCCCCCAGGGGGCTCAGATTTTTGGGGTCTATGTCTAAATCGAATGTCTATAGGGTAGAGATGAATCCCTGAAATTTTCATGCTTTCTTCCAGAAGTGCACGATTGTTACGCTTATTGGCCCCACTATAGCTTCTTATATCATGTGACGTTTCGAACCTTACAGATTTTTGGTCGTAGAATCCAAATATTGAATTTAAAATGCACCCTGGCCCCTTAGAAAGTCCAAAATCCAAGATGGCCGCCGAAATTATCCCTTACAGGATCATACAGTCAGCCTTGACCTTAGAATAGCAAGATATGTGTCAGTTTACAGGTTTATTGGGTCGTAGAATTCATAAATGAAGGTTGAAATAACCTTTGAAACTGTTAAGAATTCCCCCCTTCCAGTATAAACTTTATGGTCAAAATGGTGGATAATAATGAATGAATGTTTTTTAATTTAAACTGTAACAGAACTTTTTGTTTTAATTTGCTTCTTATGAAGTAAATGTCCAATGAGGAGTATGTAGCTTTAGGATTTGGCATTGGATTTTCTTTCTTTTTTTCCGGCAGAAATAAAAATTAGAATTTATTTAATAGCATGATAACAAAAGGAGGAAAAGTTTATAAAGTGACATGATACATACATCAAAGGTGTACATTTCCAGCAAAAAACAAAGCAAGCACAGATTTTTGATGAGGACATGTCATAATCGTAAAAAAGGAACATATTTCAGTTCTTCCATTTTAAAGCCTTGATATTTGAATTTAACAGAAAGTTTTAAAATATATGTAAGGTCTACTTTTTCAAATTTCAATGGAACGAAAAACTTTGCGACTAAAGTATTAACAACTCGAGGACAAATTCAACAAGGATTGAGACACTATAGTTTAAATCAAAAGGAACAAAAAACTCTCATGTACAGTCAGGTGCTTCCAAAAAATGAAAAATAAATTATTAAATAATTACTTTGAACTAACTTCAGTCTGAAGGAGGATCCCATAGAAAACTGGCTAATTTTTAAAAAAGTTTGAGAATCGGGAGGGAAGAAAAAAGAAAAAAAAGGGTATTCAAAAATATAACTGATCTACAAATTACAAGGAAAAATTAAATGACAAAATTAAGAAAAAAAATAATACATGTTTTGAACAAAAAATTTTAAAAAGAGCGAAAAATGACCGTCACAATTCAAATTATCAATTTCTAAATTGTTACCAATCACACAAAAATAACTTAACATGTGATTACAATAATGAATGACATCATGGAGAAGAAAGAAAAATAATAATACATGTTTTTGGGGGGAAAAATATTTCAAAATGGGCGAAAAATTACCGAGGCACAACTCAAATTAACAATTTCGATCTGAAAAATTCAAATTTTTTTCTGCTCAAAGGTTTGGTAAATTTATCTGCAATTCGCAGGTCACTTGATATGTTTTCTTGTTATTAATCCCTCCTTTATTACTTCATGGAGAAAGTGCGATATCGTACGATTATATGATGTCATCTAGGATTAAAAATCCCATTTTTCATCAGATCGATCAAGCCCTTGTTGTTTTCAAATGAGTAAAGTTCAGTTTTAACATTTTTGCCCAACAAATCCTGTACTACTGCCTTAAAACACAATAATTCTTTTTCCCATTCAGCAGCATTTATGAATTCTGATCCGCAAGTTGACAAAAAAACAACTGATCGTTTTCAAGAACACCAACTATTTGGCCCATTTTTGAAAAAAAATTACAAAGCCACTAGTGCTTTTTCTGTCGGTGAGGTCACCTGTAAAATCAGAATCGCAATATGCTGTCAATGTGAAATTATCAGAAGCTTTGTAGCCAATGCCAGTCATTCCAATGTCTTTTCTGAGGCATCGAAAAATTCTCTTAACCGTGAGAGTATCCTCAGGTGTAGGTTTGTTTTGCTACTCACATAGCTCTTGGAATAACTGATATTTTGCCTTGTTCTGCCTGCTAGATAGAGTAGTTAAAATATGTTCTGCTTCACGATAACGATAATTATTCATAATAAAAATCATTGCCGCAGTAATGTTTGCCAGAAGTTCCGTCTCATGTTTGATCGCCCTAGAGGTTGAAACCGGATTCGCTTCAGCCATTCCAAACTGGGATAAAATCGTTCTGTGTATTCTGTCTAAGTAATTTTGAACTCTCCCCCTTGACGAAATAGTTCAAGTCCCAAAAAATTTTCAGGATTCTCAATTTTAATTGAAATAATTTCGGCGGCCATCTTGGATTTTGGACTTCCCAAGGGGTGGGGGTGCATTTTGAATTCAATATTTGGATTTTACGACCAGAAATCTATAGGGTCGATACGTGACATGATATAAGAAACAACTATAGCATTTTTCGTTCCAAAACAGCAATTTTGGCCGCCATCTTGGAATTTGAGGCCTATAATGAATCGCAAAGGATTTTTTAACATCATTGTTCGATTTCACCATATTATGATGCCTAAAATCTAGTTACCAATCACCGTTCCACATTTTTTCTGTATTATCCAGGGATTATTTTACAATCTCTAGTTTTCTTGCCATCCGTTGAGTGCAATGCTATCTCCCCACAGTGAGTGCACAACCTTGTAGAGGATTATTTCAGGACTGAGGAGCGGATCTATTTAATTCCCTATTTTTGGCTAACAAGACTTATGAAAAAATTTATTTATGCAGTTTCAGTTTTCCTTGTTTTTTAACATTTTATTATTTGCCTTTTTGGGCAAATAATCTTACTTGTCAACTATTCTTGCTCCTTTTGGAAGTGGAAGTTCGGAAGTGGGTCAATTGTCTGTATACTGCAGCATGGGCATGTAAGGGAGTCTTGCATACTTTTTGGAATTGAGAGGTGAAACTGACAAATTGTGTTATGAAAAAAATGCACTTGAAGTTTTCATCTTAAGTCACTGACCACTGAGAGTGACTCATTGTTGGCCCAAAAGTTCATTCTTTAGATTAAACTATACACATATCAAGAGGAGAGTCAGTCATTGATAAAGTTCGATGATGAAGTGTTACTAGAGAAATTTTTTTAAATGCTTGATCCTTACCCTTTTTCCAAAATAAATCGATGGTCATGGGCATTTACTGCTGCCCTATGTACTTCAGTTTTTCAATTGATACTTATCCTATATATTAAAATGCAAAGTTCCGAATCTTCGGGCGTTAACTTTGAGAGAACCACCGGACCGATTTGCCTGATCTTTTTTTTAAATGAAAGCCCCTGAGCTGTAGATTTGCAGGCTGTAATTTGTTTTTCGATTTTTCAGATTTTCTCCTATAATTTTCTCAAATTTTCTTCAATGCATTAAAACGGAGGTCCGAATCTTTGGATGTTAACTTTGAGAGAACCACCGGACCGATTTGCATGATTTTTGTTTTAAACGTAAGCCTCTGATCTGTAAATTTGCAGGCTATGGTCGTTTTTTCGATTTTCTCAAATTTCCTTACTTTTATCGACGAGTGAAGTTTAGCTGGGCTCGAATTTTCTCCCATTGATTCAGACTAAAGTCCGAATTTTGGGACATTAACTTTGAGAGAACCACCGGACCGATTTGCATGGTTTTTTTTTTTTAAAATGAAAGCCTCTGATCTGTAGATTTGCAGGCTGTAATTGTTTTTTCGATTTTCTCAAATTTTCTTACTTTTATCGACAAGTAAAGTTCAGCTGTTTCGAGCGGTCGTCCGGCCGCTACCTGCTTGCCCGTCCCTAGGTACCCCCCCTCTACGGTCTCAGCCGCCCCTCCCGCCACGTTCTTTCGGCAATCTTCGTTTTCTTTTGTATAGCTCTCCTCCCACCAACCTCAAAGAAGGAGGTTTGGGTCGCAACGTCGTTCGTCAATTGCCACCCACATTCCTTCGCAATCCCTCGGCTGCTCCGCTTCACAGCTTCTTGATATCCTGGCATCTTATTCTCTGCGGCTTGACTGACCCTGACTTATGAACTGCAGTATTGCGTATTGCTAACAACACGTATTGTTACAGACATTTTATTCATCATTATTAAATAGATTCAACTAATTGCTCCGATTCCAATAACGCTACTGCACCACCATTTCTAGCTGTGGAGGGCGCCTGTAGGGCGCCCTCCACAGCTAGTAATTCTTAAATCCCGTTGTTCTTCCTAATTACTCTAATTATGATTTTCTATGTCTCATAGGAATTAATGGCAGTCGTTGTTGGGATAGTTCATCACAAAGCTCGCTCACCACCACATCAACAGAACATCCCTCAACTAATGTTCAACATTCCTCACCTTTGGAAAGTCCTCCTGGAGGGACAGGTTCGCATTTTAACTTCACTTCAATTTGATTGTCGCATCTCTTTTCCTTCTTTCTCTCCTATTTATTTCTTTCTCTCTTTTTTTTCTTGATCTTTTATTTTTACCTATTTTACCTTATTTTTTTTTCTCCATTTTTTCTTTCTAAAATATTTTCTTTCTCCTTTTTTATATTCCAGTTGCTTTTTTAAATTTTTATCTTATTCTTTGATTTTTCCTCTGCCGTTCTTTCTTTCTTCTAACTTTTACTCTGCTCCCTTATTTCTTCATTTCTCTCTTTTTTTCTTTTTTTCCCCCTCCTTTGTTTTTCTCTCTATTTTTCTTCCTCTTTCCTTTTTTTCTCTACTCTCCCTCCTGTTTTGGTTCTTTCAATTTTTAAAAATCCACGAATATCAAAAAGGGCTCTATTTTGATTTGAATAAAAAGTTATTTAATCGATAGTTCGTTTGATTCCGCATCCAGCAATGTATTGTACCTTACTTGGAAATGTTTTGTTCACAAGATATGGCCATTTTCGTAAGCAGCTTTATGGAGCGACGACGCTTGTTGACTTGTTGAGTCCAGGCAGATCAAAAGTTTAGCCTTCAAAAACAACGGGTAGAATTAATTCCATGGGTTCCTTTGTATGTTTTAACGCAGAATCCGAATTTCAACATTTCATCCAAGAATTATTGCTCGAAAGTTGCTAAATTTGGCAAAAATTGCTTAAAATTGGCCTTTTTTGCGGATTGTGGCCTGTGACTTGCCATGGGCTGCTCTGAGGAAAAAATTGGTTAATTCCACAGTTAAAACTCGTTGAATTTTCTACAAGCTGGATCCAATGCTTTCTGCTCATGTCAAAATTACACGCGCGACATGTGGCAAACTGAGGAAAGGCATTGGAATTGGCGGTTATGTCCTACGTTTCTTGTTTTCCGACTGAATGAACATTTCTTTGGACAATCTTAATGATACAGAGTGTAACGAATAATTAGTGCATTGTTACATACATACATAAGAGCCGCTTTAAGAGCGGTGTCTTGCTCTCTTGTGATGCCTTACTGCCATAGTGCCTTGTCCTCCCACAGGTCCTCAGGAAGTTGGAGCTTCTTTTTTCCTTTGAAAGCCCCTAATTGCTCTTGGCTAGGAGTCTTCCTCACTTAGGCATTGCTACTTTTCTTAATTTATCTTCTTTTTCTCTCAAGATGATAAAATAAAAATGTATACCAATTGTAGGGCGATGAATGATAATGGTCAAATACCGCAAAAATTCATAAATTGTATGTAATCTTGGCAACATCGTCGTGGAAAGGCGTGCCATATCACCTACGGTTCTATGTCTGTATTTACATGATGCATTCACTGCCTCGGGATGAGGGCCGTTGCTTTCGGAGTGCAAGCTCAGGCGCGCATTTTGGCGTCTCAGGGCATTTACCTTGGAGCACTTGGCTTTGCACTGACATCTCTGACGTCATTGCTCTTCCGGATGGTACCGAGATATACACTTTGAGAGGTCCGCGGCGCGGGGTCGTATCATCGAGCCGCGATGAGGGATATCACCTTAGTCAATTCTATCTAGTGTCTATTGTGTGTCATATCGATTATATTGATCAGCTCTACCATTTGACTATGTGCATTGGATCTTTTCATCCCCCCCCCCCCACAGTAGTGAGATTGAAAGTCATTAAAACATTGCAATGCATCCTGTCTTTTATTGACGAAATCAGTTCAGAGAGTACATTTATTCATTAACTGACATCAGAAAGTTTTCCATTAATGTCTCAAAACTCCGCTGCGGCCTCACAGCCACAGACATCATCCGAAAAGGAAACACATTATATTAATATAATCGATGAGCTAAAACAAATAGTACAGAAACAAGCAGAACAAATTGAGAAATTAATTTCTGCACTCATCACAAATAAACCACCTCTAACATCATCAGTCGCTACCCAATATGCGAGACATCATTTCGATTTCGAGGTGATAACTCTGACATTCGTTCTCACTATAATTAAGATAGTGGGTCAGATCTCCTTACTCTCTTGGCTTTTTAATTCTCTATTTCTCTGTTAACTTGTGCATCTTTAATGCAGTCAGGGTTTATACTTATTTTTATCCCACCTCTCGTTATGTATTTGGGTTTTGATTATTTTTACCAAATAGTATAGTGTACAATAGGTATAATCGCGAAAACAAACGATCAGTGCAACCTTAAAAAATTGTTTATTCTTACTTTTTATTTACATAAGCACATTGATACAACTCCTATTTTGTAGTCGGTGCTAAGATTATCATTATGTATTCCTTATCATGTTACTTGTCACAAGTTTTGAATAATAAAGTCTTATAAATAATGTCTCAAAATGTGATTTCTGACACAATTCAACAAAATTGACTGTATTTAGAATTTTGCCTCACTGGACTAAATACAATAGTTATTATTATAAATCTAAGTTGAAAAGTAAATTACACTACAGAAGTGTATTTTTTTGCACGAGAGTTACATTTATAAAATTTAAAAAAAAGAAGTGAACATAGAATATATGGCAAATATTGTCAAAACCAGCATAAAGTCAAGTATTATGTTGAATCTTGGCAACATTGGAATATGTTCAGTTTTATTTTATTGTCCATTATTATTAAATTCAGCTCATGCTGCTCATTGGTATCGTCAAGATACATTCCTTTAGTTTGAAAACAAGAAACGTAGGACAAAAACCACCGATTTCGATGCCTTTTCTCAGTTTGCTGCTTGTCGCTGATTTAATTTTGACTTGAACAGAAAGCATTGGATCCAGCTTGTAGAAAATTCAGCGAGTTTTAACTGTGAAAGTAACCAATTCTGTCGTCAGATCAACCCATGGCAAGTCACAGGCCACAATTCGCAAAAAAGGCCAATTTTAAGCAATTTTTGCCAAATTTGGCAACTATTGGGCAATAATTCTTGGATGAAATGTTGAAATTCGGATTCTGCGTTAAAACTTACAAAGGAACCCATGGAATAAATTCTACCCGTTGTTTTTAAAGGCTAAATTTTTGATCTGCCTGGACTTAACAAGCGTCTTCGCTTCATACTGCTGCTTACAAAAATGGCCATATCTTGTGAACAAAACATTTCCAAGCAAGGTACAATACATCTCTGGATGCGGAATCAAACGAACTATCAAGTAGACAAATTCTTATTCAAGTAAAAATAGAGCCCTTTTTGATATTTGCGGATTCTTAAAAATTGATGAATTTAAAAATCACAAAATTGGCAACAATGCATGTTAAAATTATAACATTACATCTAAATGAAACATTTAAAATATGGATATATCTTTCAATTGCGCATTTTGTAGACAATTTTCGTGCAAACTGCGACTGAGTAGCTTAACTTTAATGCCCTTTACGGAATTATCACGTTTCCACCTTGGCAACGCTGTAGCGGGGAGAATTTTTGAACTTGCCCCTTGTCGGAAAAAGGCATGTCCTGTGGTAGGGAACAACATTTACAACTCCGGGCAAAATCCATGAGGGGGAGGAAATCGCCGATTTTGAATAACCCTCTTTGCCCAAAACATGCTCCAAAATGCCCCGTAACTCCAAAAAATGGGGATTTAGGGGATAAAAGCATTGGACCAAAAGTTCTTATGCTTGGTTTACAGAGATTCAATCCGAATTCAAAGCATACCCTTCCTATTTGAAACATGCGAGAAACGGATGGATCCCCCTTCAATTCCCCCTCCCCTCCCAAAATGGTGTTGGGGGGGGGGGGGCTGGATATATTTTTCATTGAATTCTTTGGGATTGATGTACCCCCGAAATTTTTCGTCCCGAAGCTCAATTTTCGGCTGTTTCCTAGTAAAAGATAGTGGACGGGTCCTCTGGAACACCCGGTATGCTTATTCATGTGTGTATTACTTGTCATGTTTTTCTACTTGAATTGTTCTTTTCAATCTCTTGTCAGGAGATCGTTTTATTTATTTTTTTTTCCAACTTGAACAAAGACGGCCTCCCGAAGGATTTAAGCCTATAGTTCTGAATTTAAAATTAACTTGTCATTTGCATGGGCTTATTTAGCACCCTGCATTGAGTTTTAGAGTGGGGGAAAAAGGCGTATCCACCTACCCCCGACCGAAGCCTCGATACGTGGGACTGGTGAGCCTTGCCCCTACCTCTCAGCGGGGGAAAGGTTACCCCCGACTGGAGGTAATCCGAAGATCGTCGGCGCCCCACTATGGTCCCATAGCCCAATTTAAGCGGCAATAAATCAAAAAGATGAAGTTTGGAAAAAGTTCGATTTTTAGATGTAGATCGGTAGTACATACTGTAGAGAAAACCTCTGTAAAATATCACTTCAATGAAAGCACTAATAAAGGTGTGACAAGCATATGAAGTACGGCGCGTGGAGCACCTTTAAGTACCTACAAATACGATCCCAGCTACCGAGCAGCAGTGCTGTGTTTGAGGGTTTGTTTACGTTGTTCTACTGTACCAGAAAGTGTTCGGGCACCTGACTCACGAAATGTAGGGTATGTTGAGGGTGTCACATGCCGAAACTATTCTTTTTCGTCGTATCTTTTGCTCTAGACAAACTCTTAAACAAAGTCAGTTTTTTAATGAAATCGCAAAAGGAGGACCCAAAAAGTATACTTGGCACCTCGTAATTTTACTCGGAAGTTGTTGTCATGACTCTAGACTACCTTTAAGTCTGAATGGCAGATCCGTCATCCACTCTCACTTCAAGTTATTTTTCATGAAAAATGACATTTTCGTGTTTCATAGCACTTACTATTAGCTATTATATGCCATTCACCATGCATTTTATCATGTTCCATTGTCATACTGTATCACAGTGGCGTAACGGACTTCCGCTGGGCCCCCCTGCAAAATTTTTTCTAGCCCCCCCNCCCCCCCATGTCGATAAAATTCCAAAATCATCCCCCCTCCCGCTCCTCTACTTCCCTCACCCCTTCCCATTTTTTGGCCCGAGAAATTTCAAATCACGGACTTGGACTTGGAATGCCTCTCCCCTCACT